CGCCCCGCACTCTCGCCAGCAGGCCCATCGCCCCAGTTGGACTGGAGACTCGAGGGCTCCCGCGGAGGACCGGACGGCAGACAGCGACGAACAGACTCCGCTGCCTCCAGGGACCGTAAGGTCGCCGTGATTTCGTCTTCCCGGCTTCCTAGTGCGGGCGGCCCTGCTCCGCCCCCCCCCCCGCCCTACCGAAAACGTATTGCGCATGCTCTGTCGCCGCTCTGGCGGCCCTGCCCCCACAGCGCCCCCTGCAGGGGTGACCGAGCGGCGGCCTCCAACGCAGCGGGCAGGTGGAATGTGCTGAAGCTCCGCTGACCCTGCAGCTGCATGCATCCTGTCCCCCAGAGGTCCTGGGGGAACGCACTCGACCACTCACCAGCAAAGGAAAATTTCAGCTTCCCTGTTCAACCAATTCAACCTTGGTTCCTCGCTCCCCACACTGTCACATTTACTCATCCTGGGATTTTTTTTTTCCCTAGAAGCCTCGGTGTCTGATCCTCATCGGCTAGACCCCTTCTAAGCAAGATCCCAAAGATAATTTCCCACCCCCTCGGTGGATGATCATTTTCTAAAGTCACTACTGGTTGACAAGCCAACTGATGCCATTGACTCACAGGTGTTGGCCAAACTCTTTCCTCAATGCTCAGAGCCAATGGCCCAGAGCCAATGGCCCAGGAATGAACCATCTCTCCGCCTATTTTTCGTTTATTTATTTAGGTTGTACAAGAGACTGAACTGCAGTCCTCGTGCTTGAAAGACAGGTGCTCTACCCCTTGAACCATACCTCCAGCCCTTTTTGTGGCAGTACTGGAGCTTGAACTCAGGGCCTAGACATTGTCCCTTAGCCTTTTCACTCAAGGCTGCCACTCTGCTACAGGTCCATGTCCAGCTTTGTGTGTGTGTGTGTGTGTGTGTGTGTGTGTGTGTGGTTAATTGGAATTAAGAGTCTCATGGACTTTTCTGCCTCAGCTGGCTTTGAACCATGATCCTCAGGTCTCCCTCTCCTGAATAGCTAGGATTACAGGTGTGAGCCACTAGTGCATGGCCCCGTTTTTGTTATGACAGACTTGCTGTGTTGCACAATGTGGCCTCAAATTCATGATCCTCCTGCTTCTGCTTCCTGAAAATTCTGTTCTGTCTTGCTCCTACACCAAAGATTCATTTTTCTTTCTCTCTCTTTTTTTTTTTTTTTTTGTTGGTCATGGGGCTTGAACTCTGGGCACTATCCCTCAACTCTTCAGCTCAAGGCAAGCGCTCTACCACTTGAGCTACAGCGCCACTTCCGGTTTTCTGGTGGTTATTGGAGATAGGAGTCTCACAGTCTTTCCTGCCCAGGCTGGCTTTGAACCGTGATCCTCAGATATCAGCCTCCTGAGTAGCTAGGATTACAGGCATGAGCCACCAGAGCCCAGCCAAAGATTCATTTTTCAAGGCCCAACTCAACCCTTTCCTGCTCCCAAAGATAATGTTCACTCCAAGAGAGAGGCCCCAAATCCACCCACCTGCTCACTTACCTGGAAAGACTTCTGAGACACAAACACTCCAATCACGGAGAAGAGGGAAGAATGGAAAAACACTCCTGAAGCCAAGGTATGTTGGTTGTGACTTTTCTTTTTTAATTATCACAGTAAAAACTACTGGGATCCAGACCCTGGTATTCTGTAGCCATAGTCAAAGTGGAGTGATGACCCCCCCGGGAGCAAGAAGCCAAGACTGGGCTGGAGAGGTGGGAAAGGGGAAGAGAAAGGGCAGCTGGTCAGGAAGAGAAGGAAGCCTGGAGTCCTGTATAACCATACAGATACAAAGCCACAGGGGAGATGGCTGGTCTCTGCCACCCCATCCCTGAGAAACAGAGATTGGAGTGCTAGGTGGGGAAGGCCCTCTTTTTGGCCACATCCCCTTTCCTAGGACAAAGGAAAGAGAATGAGGAGAGCAGACAAAGACAAAGGAGTCCTAGGGGGGGATCTAGAACAACAGGTGACTTGTTAACCATCAGGGACTGCCTCCTCTCTCTGGCCTATGTCTTCACATCTACAATGAACATAATTTGACAAAACAAAGTTTCTAGCCCTTGGTGGGAGTAGTAAAAGAAAGTGGGATCCAGGGTCCAGAAAGCAACACCTAAAATCCATAGGCAGGAGGAATGGGTAGCAGGAGCTCCCCACACGACACTAGGTCACCTGCTCCGTGGGCCTCATCTGGATGTCTCCAATCTGTGGAAGGCACAAGGCTTGAGGCAGCCAGGATGTTTCCCACCCCCTTTAAGGCATTCCTGCTCCCCTCTTCTGGGGATGGTTGATCTCCTCCGAGGGATAGACAGCCAAGGCTAGACTCACCTGGACATGTGGGGGACTGCTGAGGACATAGATGACAGCATCAGCCACATCCTCAGGTCTGAGACACTGGGAACAGCAGAGGAAAGGGTTGAGACAAGGGTAGAATGGATCCACGTTCTTTCCCACCACTGGGGTCCTCACCAGAATCCACTTTCCCACCCCAGCCCTCCAGAAGGGGTGATAAGCTAGCCAGAGGATTAAGTTTGAAGGTCAGGGTTCCCTTTGCCTTCATTATCAATCGGTGTTGCAAGCCCAGAGGGTAGCCCCACCTTTATGCACTCATAGGTGGCAGCTGCTTTCTCAGGGTCCTTGTCGTGGAGTTTGAAGGCAAACTGTGTTTCCACCAAGCCTGGAGAGATGCACTGGGCCAAGAGAGAGGGGTTACTCAGGGGCTGAGCTTTGCCAGGGAGGTTGGCGGGGAAAGATGGAGGCCACAGGGCTCCAGCTCACCAGTGATGACTGTTTAACACCCAGCAATTCCCTCCTCCATTCACAGCTGTCACTGGCAATGCTCACAATGTCCCCAACTCTGGACAGAGACCTTCTTATATGATAAACGCTTGACCAAATGGTGTTCTTTCAAGCCTCATAGCAAAGTAGTATTCAATTCCCTTCTACAAGTGAGGCTTGGGAAAACTCACAGATTTGCCCAAAGTCAGCTCAGAGTGCTGGTGTCTACACATTGTGTGCCCACAATCCCTTGCTTTCCCTTAGTCTCACTCTATGCTCCCCTCAAGTCAGCCCCCTTCTACCGCAAAGTCTAAGTCTAGTCACTGATTCCTGGATGAATGAAATAATGGAACCTGAAGGACTGAACAGGACCTGTATATAAGGAGCAACAGAGCCCAGATATTCTGCACCCAGGCCACTCCTGGAGGCTCTAGGCAGCTCTCCCTGGTCATGGGTTTCCTGGGCAGCATGTATGGGTGGGAAGGTATGTGCATTCCATCCCCAGCAGGGTTAGGCCACAGCCTCACCGTGGCCCGGATGTGGCTTTGGGCCTCCAGTAGCTCTTGCCTCAGTCCCTCAGTCAACGCAGTGACAGCATACTTGGTCGCACAATAGAAATGGGTCTCAGACTGGAATGGGACTCGGTGGCCACACATGCTGGGTAGAAGAATGAAAGGAGGAAATGTGAGACAGTGAAGCTCCACAGATAAGGGCAGTTCCCTCTGCCATTTGGCCAGCCTTACCACCTAGAAAGTGACAGGGAAATTGTCAAGCAGATGACAAGAGCCCTGTTAGAAAGACCTGGTGGCCATTCCCAAAGCCACTGTGCTCTCTACACAGCAGCTAAAAACTCCCCCCAACCCCCATCCCACTCTCATTCTCTTGCTTGCTAGCTCACTTGCTCTCTTTTTGGTTGGTTGTAGGGCTTAAACTTGGGCTTGGGCGCTGTCCCTCAGCTCTTCAGCCCAAGGCAAGCACTTTTACTTTTTGAGCCACAGCGCCACTTCTGGTTTTCTGGCGGTTAAACGGAGATCAGAGTCTCATGGACTTTCCTGCCCAGGCTGATTTTGAACCGGGATCCTCAGATCTCAGCCTCCTGAGTAGCTAGGATTACAGGCGTGAGCCACCAGTGCCCGGTGGGGAGCTTCTTAATGGCACAGCTTATGCTGTCTTGTTGGGCCAAGAGGGTGGTTCATCCTAGAGTCTGAGGAATGGATGCATTCAGTCTCCTGTTAGGCGGCAGAGGGCAGTGGCTGAGCTGCTCATTCAGACACTGAGTGGCTGGCACTTGACAACCTTGTGTTTTCCTCTCATCATGCCACTTGGGCGTTAAAATCTCTATTTTTGCCACCATGAAAAATGCAGTCTAGACAGACAAGTGAAACTGCAGCCTGGAGGGGCAGTGGTGATCTGAGCTCTACCCATCAGCCACTAGGCCTCACCTGTTGATGTTAATGATGTGCCCATCATCCACGTTCTGCTCCTTCATGGACTGATAGGCTTCCCGTGTGCAGATGCTGAGGGCTAGCACGTTCACCTGCAGGCCAGGGGGGGCAATGGGATGTCTCCAGCTTGGGCCCAACTGAGCAGGTGGTGGAGCTACAGAGCAGCAGGGGGGGGCATTCTCTATAGCTGCCCCTTTCCTCAAAGCTACCACCCTCAGTTGACAGCAGACACAGCTTTTCTACATAGCTGTCTCTTTGAAAAGAGTAGTCTTTGCCCCCTCTATCCAAGAGACGGCACCATCTCTACAAACAGTAGGACTCTTGTCTCAGGAAATCATAGCCTTTTCCTCCCCCAGATAGCCTACCTTTCTCAAGGACACTATCCCAACTCTACTCCCTGCTAAACAGACTTAAAACTTTCTCCTCATTCACAGACCCCACCTCTCCCCACCTTTCTCAGCCACCCTGCTCCCTGGCAGTCTCTTTCCTTAGAGACAAGTTGCAAGAGCTCCTCCCACTTTAACCTGTGTCCCATCAGCAAGTTCAAGCATGAGGACTCCTCAAAGGGTGTGTTAACTTGCCACTCCCACCCCCTCTGGCAGAGGTGACCCCAAGTCCCCACTCTTCTGGTATTTTCTGAGTAGTGCCTGCCAGGCCCCACCCTCCAGCCTTGCCCACCAAGACAGTAGAGATAAAGCTTTCAGCAAGTCCTCATACATCTCCTCTTGAGAGGGACCAGCTGACAGATTAGCCGGATCTCTTTATCAGGTGTCAGCCAGGACACCCTCAGTAAAAACCTGCCCTAGTGCTCATAGTGGAAGCAATAGGAAATGAGAACTGGGACATGGAAGGAGCTTACTCTGTTGCTTGCCTTCTTAGCAGTGTGAGTTTGTGAAGCAGGTGGACGATAACAAGTGGATACCAGGCCCCCAGGACCATGTAAGCCCAGGTCTAAGGGCTTGGGCACGAATGAAGATGCCTCCCAGGATAAGCATCGTTGACTTAATGTTCAAGCTGAAAGGGGCCTTGGGGACTTAATAGTTTCTGGTTTTACAAATGGTCAAGTTAAGGTCCTGGTTTAGAGAACCACTTGTTGCAGGTCGTGAGGGTCACGTGATTTCTCAGAGTCTGAAGACTGGTTTTCTTTTGTTGTTGTTTTGTTTTGTTTTTCTTTTTGCCAGTCCTGGGGCTTGAACTCAGGGC